TGCCTCGGGCGCCCCTCTTGGGGCTCTTCTGGTGCCTGCCTGGGAGCCTGTTGGGTCGTGTTGTAGTCATGTTGGGAACACGTGGGAGCCGTCCTCGTGCTCTCGTATCCTTCTTGGGAGTCGTTGCGAGACCTCTGAGGCCTCCGCGGCGTCCATATGAATGCGGGCGGCTAGCTAGCCTGGGAGGCCCGGGGGGCTGTCAGAAAGGAGGCCCTGGGATTGTGCGTGTGCGTGTGTGTGTGTGTGTGTGTGTGTGTGTGTGTGTGTGTGTGTGTGTGGGTGTGCGTGTGCGTGTGCGTGTGCGTGTGCGCGTGCGTGTGCGTGTGCGTGTGCGTGTGCGTGTGCGTGTGCGTGTGCGTGTGCGTGTGCGTGTGTGTGTGTGTGTGTGCCTGTGTGTGTGTGAATGTGTGTGTGTGTGTGTGAATGTGTGTGTGTGTGTGTGCGTGTGTGTTGGGGGTGCGTGTGTGTATGTGCGTGTGTGAGCCATCCCGGGGTGGGGGGCCCGTGCAGGATGTATACTATATGAATGCCCTTGCTTGAGCTGGTATGGTCATATGTATACGCATGAATACTCCTGCACGTTAGGCAGCGGCGCTACCTCCACTCCATTGGGCGGCACGCTTCAGCAGCGTCTCTCCGCGCCGCACGGCCTGGCTCAACGCAAGGGTGCGCTTTGCCTCGGCATCTCCCACCCTCCGCTCCCTCCTCGGCAGCTTCCCCCGCCCCGCTCCGCTACACCCTCTTCTCTCTTCCCTTGCACTTCCGCGGTGTTTGAAGCGATGGAGAACATCGGCGGGAAAGGGGGTGCAGCAGCGCGCTGCATTGATCCAGCTTGACGTGCAGCTGCGGAGGAGGAGAGGGATGAGGAGAAGGAGGAGGATGGAGGGAGGACGAGGAGGGATCATGCGCGGGTGGATGCGAGCGAGTAGGACGAGAAGAGGTTTTGGGGAGGAGTAAGAGGAGAGGTGGACGGACGTGGAAGGGAACGCGCATGCAGGGATATAGGAGAACGATGTGAGGGAGGAAGGGTGGAGGGGAGGCAGAAGGGAGGAGGAGGAGGAGGAGAAGGAGGAGGAGGAGTTGGAGGAAGAGGAGGAGGAGGAGGAATGAAAAGGAGGAGGGGGACGGGGAAGAGGAGGAGGAGGAGGAGGAAGAGGAGAAGGAGGAGGAGGAAGAGGAGGAGGAGGATGATGAGGATGAGGAGGAGGAGGAGAGAGGTAATGGACGATGACGAGGACGAGGAGGGAGGAGGAGGTAATCGAGGAGCGGACGAGGACGAGACAGAGGAGGGATGAGGGTGAATAAGGATGAGGGTGGATGAGAATGATGATGATGATGATGATGATGATGATGATGATGATGATGAGAATGATGAGAATGATGATGTTGATGATGCTGATGACGATGCTGATGCTGCTGATGATTATGCTGATGATGATGATGACGATGATGCTGACGATGATGAGGATGAGGATGAGGATGAGGATGAGGATGAGGATGAGGATGATGATGATGATGATGATGATGATGATGATCAGGATGAGGATGATGATGATGATGATGATGATGATGATGATGATGATGATGATGATGATGATGATGATGATGATGATGATGATGATGATGATGATGATGGTGGTGGTGGTGGTGGTGGTGGTGGTGGTGGTAGTGGTGGAGTGGTGGTGGTGGTGATGATGATGATGAGGAGGAGGAGGACAGGGATAGGGAGAGGAGGGTATGTGGATGGAAGGAGGCGGGGGCGGCAGGAGGAGGAAGGTGCGGGGAGGCGGAGGGTCAGCAGCAGTAGTTGGAGCAGGACAAGCCGGAGGAGGGGACGGCCGCAGCAGGGGGGGGGGGGGGACGGGGAGTGGGGGAGGGGGGAGGCCAGAGGAGGGGGCTGGGAAACGACCTGGACGTTTTAGGGGGCGAGGCCTGGGGCTCAAGCCGAGTCTACATCAGCCGTGCGACGGTCGGGCTGTGCGGCCACCTTGGCATCCTCGCCGTCGTCCCCGAAGTGCACAGATCTGCGCATGGCAGGCACGGGGGTTCCCCGGCCCCGGGGCCCACGCCTCGGCGGCGCACTTCGCCTGGGCGGTGGCCGCTGTGAGCAGCCGTGGGGGGTCTGCCGGGGCGTCCGCCGCCTCTGCCTCCCTGCCCCGGCTTGCAGCTGCCAGGCGGCTGGGTTGGTCTTCGGCCTCGAGAGGGCGCCAAGAGTGCCATGCGTTCAGAGCCCCGAATCATCAGGGGTAACTCGGGTCCTGGCTAACTCGGGTTCGTTTTTCGGGAATCCGAACCCGACTTACCCCGGACCCGACTTACCCCGGATAATTCGAGCGTCCAGAGCCCCACATCATCAGGGGTAACTCGGGTCCTGGCTAACTCGGGTTCCTTTTTCGGGAATCCAAGCCCGAGTTACCCCGGACCCGAGTTACCCCGGATAACTCGGGCGCCCAATGCGTCGCGCGTCGCGCGTCGCGGAGCGCGCGATGCGCCAAGCCAGGTGACCCAGAGGACGGGGCCTTCGACTCGAAGAAGACTGGCTGCCTACAGGCATCCTCTGGCGGAGGCCCCCGCGGAGTTCTGGGACCTGCGCTGGGCCCCTCTGGCGGCCCCGTCCAGCCCCGACCCCGGGCGGTCGCCGGCGGGTCGGCCGCACGCCCACCTCGTGCCTCGGCAGCCCCTGACATCTTGCTGTCGTGATTTTTCTGCGACGGCCTTCCAGACTTGATTTTTTAGAATTGTCGTGATTTTCGGTTGTTACGTGTGCTTGTCTTGATTTTTGCGTCTATGTCTTGATTTTTGCGTATATGTCTTGATTTTGCGTATCTGTCTTGGTTTTCGCCATATACAGCCTCGCCTCCCCGGTGGCACGACACGGCCTGCGCCTGGAGCGGGCGCGCGGCGGCGGCCTCTGTCGGCGCGGCGCACCGGTGGCCATGGCCGCCCGGCGGCGGTGTGCGGTCGAGCGCAACGGGGGCGATCGACGGGGGGGGGGGCAGCGAAGGGCTGCCGAAAAGGGGCCCTCCAGGGCCCCGAGGGGAGCCTTCGGGGCCCGAGAAGGGTACTTTCTCCCCCCCCCCCCCCCCCCCATTTTTGTCGCCCTCCACTACTTCGCGCCCAGGGGCATAGGATTGCGAAACCTCCTCCCCACAAGCTGGGGCAGCGTTTCTTGACCAGCTTGCTGGAACGCTGGCCCAGTTTGTTGAGCAGGGTCGCCCTCCAGCGCTGACGACAACCGCTGGCCCGGGCTTGCTCTAAGGAGCGTCCCGGAAGCTGGCCCAGTCTGCTCAAGCGATACATTTCCTGATCATGTTTTCGGCTGTACGCTTGCGGTTGCCCACGCCCACACCAGCGCCACGTGCTGTCATCGTGCTCGATCTGGCTCAGTAGCTCCTCGAGCCAGCTCTGCAGCGCCCAGAGCTGGCTCGATGGCTGTTGATCGTTTCCGCAGGGACCTACTACGCAATCCTGGACTTCTTGTTCCTGGCCCGTGCTGATTTGATATGGCCCCAGCTGTAGACCAAAAGATCGTTCGACAGTGTCTCGCAGGGAGAGCTTCACTCCACCCTTTCTGGCACGGGGAAGGTGGAGGGAGGGATCATTGTGAGAGCGAGTGGAGGGATAATGTGGATGACGCCGCCTGCCACTAGGAGTCCGACTGGCTCTTTAGAAGCGGGTTGGCATTTCATGTTCACACATTTGGATTCCAGCTTCTTTTGGACGTGCCTCGAGTTTCGAATCGACCAGGGATAATATGGGGTGAAGCTCCGAGGGCTTCGCCCGCTGCTTCCCGCTTCCCTTTCTTATCATTCCTCGTAAAGGTGCCATCGTCTCCCTGCTCCAGCTGTCCTGCTGCACTGTCCCTCCTGCGCCTCTCCCTCCTCGCCACACGTCCTTTTTCGGTAATCATGCTAGCATCGCCTCCCTCAGTGGGCCTCCCGACTCCCTGATTTTCGATGTAGCCCGTTGACATCTCTGGTGGATCAGGTGGGCCACTGGGGAGAAGATCAACAGTGCGTTGTCTCTCGGGGGGCTCTGCGAGCCTCCGATGTAGCCTCGCGTGCTCAGCGCGTCGGTCCACGAAGCTGCGGACCGCTTCACTGCGAGGGCCACTGGCCTCGGGAGGCCTCGGGAGGCCAGCAACGGACGGGGAGCATGCCCGGAAAAAAAGTCAAAAACCTAACCCTCCCCCTTCTGTTCGGGTCCCAGGCCTCCGACGCCGTGATCTCTTGCCCAGCGTGCGGGCTCTCAAGAAGCCCCGACCCCTTCCCCCGGGGCGCGTGTCTTTGTCGACGGCCCGTGCCGAAGTGGAAGAATTTGTTCCCAGCATGCGGGCCCCCCAGAAGGCCCGACCCCTTCCCCGGGGCGCGTGTCTCTGTTGACTCGGGCAGGTGGCAATGGGGGGTGATCCAAGTGGGTGGTGAAGAAGAGGGCCCTAAAGGGGTTCTTTATGGCTCCTTTTGGAGACAGCTGGTGCCCAAGAGGGGCCCCAAGGGGCCCCTTTGGGACCTTTCTCTTCACCCTCCATGGAGGCTACCCTCCATTGCCACCCGCCCGATTGACGTTCCCTGGGACCGAAGAACTCCTCCGTGCCAGAGTCGAAGCAACGCCGCCGGCATGGAACGCCTCAATCCGCCCGAGGTCTGGGCCACACTGTTCCCGAGCGAGGGGGCAGGTCACGTACTGGACGTCGGCCCCGACGGGGTCAGCCCCATCGCCGATGATCCCTTCTGGCTGACCCGGGTCCGGGAACGATGTGGAGCCGACCCTCCTCCTCGGCTCTAGGCGTACCTCAGAGGGACCTTTCGCCGGAGTGCCCTTTGGCTTGGCATCGCTCGGACGTGTGCAATTTTCCTTCGGCGAGGACCATCGAGGAGCATCCTTGACCATTCGGCGAAAAAAACACGCACGACACCGAAAAAAGCACACGGAATGGACGTCCGAGCGATGGCGAGTTGGTGCGGGCCCAACGAGGCCCCCCGATCGCGGAACGCGAAGCGGCAGCGGCGGCTGGCGCGCCCGGGTTTTGGCCACCCCGCGCCCCCCGCGAAGCCGCGCACCAGGGGTCACTCTTGCCTACATAGGGTCACTCTTGCGTGGAGCTCACCACCCACCAAACCACCCCAGCCCAACCCGAAGGCTCAGATTTACCCTCGATTTCCAGTGGGGGGGGAGGTCGGGAAACATCGAACAAAAACACGGGTGGAACCCTTACCCCCCCCAACTTGGGTTGGGGTGGTCTGGTAGGTAGTCGGGAGCTGACCCCCCCCCCTCCCCGCCCTCCGCGGACCGGGGCGGTCGGAGCCACTTCACTTCCCGACCTGCCCGGGCTCGCGACCGGGTCCTGGCTGGCCCAGGTCGGCGCGCACCCGGGCCGACGGGTTCTCCCGTCCTCCCGAGGCCGGAGCTGCTGTGGGCTGCACCGCCCGGGGGAACCCATGCCCCATGATCCGGAGTGGCCTTTCGCCGGAGTGACCTTTCAGGCCCTCCGGGGCCCCCCGATGGCTTGCGCGTCCGGGTTGGACCCCCGCGCGCCCCCCTCCCAACGTCGCGCACCAGGGGTCACTCTTGCCCAGGGTCACTCTTGCGTGTAGTCGAGACCCCCCTTGAGATCCTGGCGTCCTTCTTCTTTGTTCGAGCCGTGTGCTTTCGTCAGGTTTCGGGCCCCAGGACCCTCACAGATCGATCTGGCTCGGCAAGCGGCGCAGAGAGATGGGGTCTGGGGCTCTGGCCGTGATCTTTCAGAAGGTTTCTCGCTCCGTCGGATCTCAGGGCCAGCGGGCAGTGGACACAAATGTCTTTGCCCCCCTTTAGGGTTTAGGGTTTAGGGTTTAGGGTTTAGGGTGTCCTCTGTCAGCGCTTGCTGATCATCAATCGTGTAAGACCACCCCCACCCATAAAATGGAGTGGGGGTGGGGTAGTCGTGTTGTGGTGATATCATGTTGAGCGGAATCATGTTTCGGCTACGGGGCCAGCTCCCCTTTTCACATTCCCACCCCGCGCCCGTTAGGGCGGCGAACCACCCACGGCTTTCTCTATTAGGGTTTAGGGTTCATTCGGTAATCGGGGTTCTCTTTCTCTTAGGGCTCCACGATTCCAATCGGTTTGGCGATCTTGCTCATGGCTTCGACATACAATGCTTTGTGTATCACACGTACACAGATACCCTCCTAGGTCTTAAGATATGCGCAATCCTGGGTTTAGGGTTGACGCTTTGCGTCGGGGGAAAAAGTTTGGGGGTGAAACGCCGCGCAGGCGTTTGATTGTGCGCTTGTGGCGCCGGCTCCGCTCGCTTCGCTCGCTCCGCCGATACCGCTCCTCTTGAGCTGGCGCGCCCAGGAGCGCCCTGGGCCCTGTGCGGCAGCTTATTCACCGTGAGTGGCGCCTGGGGTGCCTTGGAAGGCTTTGAGAGAGCCCTGGAGGGCAGTCAGGGGGGCTCCTGGGGGGCTCCTGGAGAGCTCCTGGGGGGCTCCTGGGCGGTGCCCAATTCACCGTGACGCTGGTCTGCGGGGGCTCTTGGGGGGCTCCTAGGGGGCTCCTGGGGGGCTCCTGGGGAGCTCCCAGGGCGCTCCTGGCGGGTTCATGAGGGGGTGCATGGGCGGTGCTCAATTCACCGTGACGCTGGTCTCGGGGTGCCTGGGGGGCTCCTAGGGGGCTCCTGGTCGCCAGGGCCGCCCAGGGGCTCAGGCAATGGCCAATTCACCGTGACGGGCGTCCGGGGGGTCCCAGAGCCGCGCTGTGGCCCTGGGCGTTGGCTACTTCACCGTGACGGGCGTCTGGGGGCTATCCAGGGCCGCCCAGGGGGTGGGGCGGCGGCTAATTCACCGTGGCGGGCGCCCGGGGGGTCCCAGAGCCGCTCTGGGGCCTTGGGCGGTCGCTAATTCACCGTGATGGGCGTCCGGGGGCTATCCAAGGCCGCCCAGGGGGTGGGGCGGCGGCTAATTCACCGTGACGGGCGCCCGGGTGATCCCAGAGCCGCTCTGGGGCCCTGGGCGGTGGCTAATTCACCGTGACGGGCGTCCGGGGGTTATCCAGGGCCGCCCAGGGGGTGGGGCGGCGGCTAATTCACCGTGACGGGCGCCCGGGGGGTGCCAGAGCCGCTCTGGGGCCCTGGGCGGTGGCTAATTCACCGTGACAGGGCCGCCCGGGGGGCTTTCACGGGCCGTCCCAGAGGGGCCGGGGGGCGGTGGCTAATTTCGTGACGGGCGCCCGGGGGGTCCCAGAGCCGCTCTGGGGCCCTGGGCGGTGCTAATTCACCGTGACGGGCGTCCGGGGGCTATCCAGGGCCGCCCAGGGGGTGGGGCGGCGGCTAATTCACCGTGACGGGCGCCCGGGGGGTGCCAGAGCCGCTCTGGGGCCCTGGGCGCTCGTGACGGGCGTCCCTGGGCGGTGGCTAATTCACCGTGACGGGCGTCCGGGGGCTATCCAGGGCCGCCCAGGGGGTGGGGCGGCGGCAATTCACCGTGAGGGGGCTGGGCCGCCCAGGGGGTGGGGCTGCGGCTAATTCACCGTGACGGGCGTCCGGGGGGTCCCAGAGCCGCTCTGGGGCCCTGGGCGGTGGCTAATTTACCGTGACGGGCGTCTGGGGCCCAGCCCAAGTGCCCCCCGCGGGGGCCCGAGTCGCCAGGAAACGTCTTTTGCAAGCCAGCCGATCAGGGGGGGTCCACTCTGGAAAACTTTAGGATTCGAGGTCGAAAAAAAAATTGCCAGTGGCGATCCGTGTCTTTTAGCGATTTTTACTGAGGCCCCAGGGGGGGCCAGGGCGCCCGTCACGGTGAATTAGGTTGATGTTTTGGGGTTATAAGTCTCTTTGACGATCGCCCAGGCGGGCACAGGATAATCGCTTGCGCGTAAGCCGCATCATTGATAATGAGATAAGGCCCTCGCGGGCCATGCCTGACGGCAACCGAGACTCTGCTGGGCTGGCCTGATATTCACGTACGGCCGTGAGGTAGTCTGACTGCGAGGTGCCAGTTAGGGCGCTTGCCGCCTAAATGGGTGGGTGGATACGGGCCAAGCGGCCCTGGGCGAGTTTAGGGTTTCTGCGCAGAACCATCCTATCCCCCCCTCCTCAGGAGGTAGGGGGGGATGGATGGATGCGTTCTGTCCCACCCCATCCACCCAGAGTCATTGCTTTTAGGGTTTAGGGATCTACCCCCCACGCTCCCCCCTATCAAGGGGGGAAGGAGTGCTGGCGTCAGCCTGAGTGAGTGATGTGCGTCCCAGAAACAGATATGTCAGCATTAGCGCGATTCGAGAGTCGTCCTTCGCGAAAGTTACGCGCGCGACCCCGACCCTTGCGGGTGCAGAGTCGCCCGCGTAGCCTTCCCCAGGGGCCGCCGCGTGGAGGCTGGACGTGGCCCCTGGGTTTCCGCGCGGCAGTGGGCGCCGCGCCGCGCGTGGAGTCCGACGGGCTTTCTCGCTCGCGGACTCGGCGCGGCGCGGCGGCCACTCCCGCGCGGAAGCCCCCCTCGACCGCGAGCTTCCGCGTTCCTGGTGCAAGCCCGCGGAAGAGGGCACAACTGCGCCTTGCCGAGAGTTCGCGGGGGCGCCGTTGTTCGTGGGGTCGGCGGACGTCGGCTCTGCGACGCGCGGAGCGCTGCGGGATGTGCATGCCAGGAATGACAGGGAGCATCGGCGCTCTGGGGGAGAGCTCTGGGGGAGAGCTCGCTCTGGGGGAGCTCTGGGGGAGAGCTCTGGGGGAGAGCTCTGGGGGAGAGCTCCGGGGGAGAGCTCTGGGGGAGAGCTCTGGGGGAGAGCTCTGGGGAGAGCTCTGGGGGAGAGCTCTGGGGGAGAGCTCTGGGGGAGAGCTCTGGGAGAAAGCTCTGGGGGAGAGCTCTGGGGGAGAGCTCTGGGAGAGAGCTCTGGGGGAGAGCTCTGGGGAGAGCTCTGGGGGAGAGCTCTGGGGGAGAGCTGGGGGAGAGCTCTGGGAGAGCTCTGGGGGAGAGCTCTGGGGGAGAGCTCTGGGAGAGCTCTGGGGGAGAGCTCTGGGGGAGAGCTCTGGGGGAGAGCTCTGGGGGAGAGCTCTGGGGGAGAGCTCTGGGGGGAGCTCTGGGGGAGAGCTCTGGGGGAGAGCTCTGGGGAGAGCTCTGGGGGAGAGCTCTGGGGGAGAGCTCTGGGGGAGAGCTCTGGGGGAGAGCTCTGAGGGGAGAGCTCTGGGGGAGAGCTCTGGGGGAGAGCTCTGGGGGAGAGCTCTGGGGGAGAGCTCTGGGGGAGAGCTCTGGGGGAGAGCTCTGGGGGAGAGCTCTGGGGGAGAGCTCTGGGGGAGAGCTCTGGGGGAGAGCTCTGGGGGAGAGCTCTGGGGGAGAGCTTTGGGGGAGCCGAGCGGTATTTCTGAGCATCCGGAGGAGGGCTAGGGGTTATCATTTTGCAAGCGAAGCACCGCCTCGGGCCGGCAGGCCTATGGTCGCGGTGAGCTCGACTTGCAGCTCGCTCTCACTAGCAGATCCTTACAGGCATGGCGGTGCGCGCCCCCAGGTCCGCGCCTGCAGTTTAGGGTTTAGGGTTTAGGGTTTAGGATCTCCGAGGATACGTTTCTCTTGCTGGTTACGTTTTTTGTCCATCGATGTCGGCAGTTACAGGGCCCGTCCTCGGGCCGCGGGGCCATCACAGCAGTGGATCTGGGACGAGAAGATTCCGCGGGGGCAGTGGTCGTGCTTTCTGGGGCCGCGGCTTGAGCAACTTGTATCGGGGGACGTCTGGGAGCCGCTGAGATCTGACGTTGCGAAACGCTGCAACATCCCGAGCAAGAGTCACGTCGGGAGCCGTAGACCCCATCTTTCTGGTGCATCTCCCGAGCGGGATCGATGCGTGAGGTTCCTGGAGCTCGAAGTTTGGCGAAAACGCTCGGTGCGAAGCTGATGCAACGCCCGTGTCTCAGGGAACTCCAGCCACCCAGATCTCTGGCGTCACGAATTGTTCGAGGCACGGCGGGCCCCCCGACCTCTGGACCACTTCCCTGGGACCCCGAGTTGTTTTTTGACGGTCCCGAGGCCCAGTAAGGGTCCCGAGAGGCCGAAAATCATGAAACACCTCAGCCTCGACTTCGTCGAGACGTCGGATGTCTGACCTTGATGAAGCAGAGCCTCGGGGCCGGGCAGGAGTGATGGTCCCGGCCGAGCACATCGCCAAGGTCATCGGCAAGGGCGGGGCGGGCCTCAAGCAGATCCGCGAGACCACCGGGTGCAAGCTCCAGGTTCGGCGCAGGGCAGTCAGGAGCGAAGGAAGGACGTACACGTTGGAGCCGCCATGGGGGTCTGCGGTGGCTCAGCAATGGTTCTGACCAGCGGGAGTGGCGAGCAGGTCCGAGGTTCTGGGTTCGGTTGCGGCATCCGGGAGCTGTTTACGGGCCCGGTGACAGTGGAAAACGGATTTGGGAAGACAGATTGCACTAGATGGACCACCCTGGGAGGGGTCCGGGGATCGATTTTGAGCGGATTTGGCTGCATTCTTCCTTCCTGACATTTTTTCCGGGGTCCTAACGCCCACCTCCAACGCACACGTACATGAGTCTACCTTGATTTTGAGAGTACGCATTGCGCGATCGCTTGTATCACGAGGCTGGTCTCGCGAGCTGGTGGCTGTATTCATGCTACCAGCCTGGAACATATCCATATCCCTATGATCGGCGTCGCCTCATCTCGATGCCAATCTGAAGGACTCTCTCAGTTTCTCAGGGCGCAGCATTAACATGGCGCCGCCTTGTGAAATGTCAACTGTAAGCATACGGATCGGTCTGGGGCTGTATCCATGTACGTGGTTGGGCGCCGCGATCCTCGAACAGGAGAAGGAGGAGGAGAAGGAGGAGGAGGTGGAAGAGGAGGGGGATCGAGTTTCGAGGATCGAAGCATCGAGGGATCGAGGTTCGAGGTTTTTGGTGTGGGCTCCCTGGGCAGGGCCTCCTCCCCCGCGCGCGCTCGCGCTCGCCGACCGCGACCTACCCCTGGCGACCCAGGCGTCGACGTCCGCGCTGCACTGGGCGGAGCCTAGTGCAGAGGTAGGGGGCGGGGTACAGGAGGAGGGAGACGGAGGAGGAGGCGGAGGAGGAGGAGGAGGAGGAGGAGGAAGAGGAGGAGGAGGAGGAGGGGGAGGTAGGTGGAGGGGTAGAGGAGGCAGATGAGGAGGAGGGGGAGGTACAGGTAGGGGGCGGAGTAGAGGAGGAGGAGGAGGAGGAGGAGGAGGAGGGGGAGGAGGAGGAGGAGGTGGAGGTAGGTGGCGGGGTAGAGGAGGCAGATGAGGAGGAGGAGGGGGAGGTACAGGACGGGGGCGGGGTAGAGGAGGAGGAGGAGGAGGAGGAGGAGGAGGAGGAGGAGGAGGATGGGGAGGTGCAGGTAGGGGGCGGAGTCGAGGAGGTAAGTGTCTCGGGTCGAAGGAGAGGGTAGGGTAGAGCCCCAGACATGCTGGCGTCGAGGGGAAACATCCCAGCATCCGGTGTTTGGCTGTGTTCGGTCTCCTGCGGCCCTCGCCGGGCCGCGGGGACGACTCGGGATGAAAACCGGCTTACGGGTCGGGACTTCGAGGGCCCCATTTTGAACACATCGAGACATCGCATCTCGGGGGTCAAGATCACTCGAGCGCCGTAAAAAAAAGGGTTCGTCTTCACCGACATTGGCGCGTAAGCCGCCCGCGTAATCGAGCTCGCGCGCAAGCGCCCTCGACTCCAGTGTGGCGTGCCGCGCTGGCGGCTCCGTAAGCCGCCGCGTAAGGTCGCAGTGCCACCTCGCGTAAGGCACGCTTCTTTTCGTCGCGCACTTTGGGCTCAGGGGAGTCTCTGGTTGTTGGTCCGTTCCTGAACATCTGGGCCGGAAGTTCGTGCGTGGCCGAGGCTCGCCGTGGCCAGGATATATTATTTCGTTCGATGTTCGGTGCTTGGCTTTTATATCCAAAGGATGGGGTTCTTGTTTTTTCTCCGACCGCGCCAACTTCCTCACACACACACATCCCTCCTCCTCCTCTTCCTCCTCCTCCTCCTCCTCATCCTTATGGTATGGCATGGTATGTAACTATGGTAGTATAGGTGATAATATGCTACGTCATTGTGCTATAGCATGGAATGACACTATGTTATGTCATGCTCTGATATGACATGCCACGATTTGCTGTGTTATCGTATGTTCTAGTCGGTCATGGTATGTTAGGGTATGGTATGCTATGTCATGGTATGTTATGGCATACCATGCTGTGTTATGAAATGTCATGTTCCGTATCCAAAGGTATCGCTTCTTGTTCCCATATCCAAAAGATGGGGTTATTGTCATTACTCCGACCACGCCAACTTCCTCACTCAGCCTTCCTTCCTTCTCCTCATGTTATGGATTTGTGTGTTGTGTTGCCGTGTTTTGTTTTAAAGTATGGCATGACAAGTTATCTTGTGTGGTGCTATGCTATGTTGTGCGAGGTTATGGTATGGTGTGACGTGCTATGCTATGGCATGTTGTATTAGGCGTTGTTAGGCTATGTGGTATGATGTGCAATGCTACGTTATGACATGTGGTGTTAAGTTATGACATGATGTGGTCTGTAATGGGGTGGTATGCTATGCTGTTTTCGGTGATGCTGATGATGATGATGATGATGATGATGAAGATGCAGATGAAGATGCTAATGATGCTGATGATGATGATGGCGGTGAGGATGACGGTGATGATGCTGATTACGATGTTGATGCTGATGATGATGACGACGACGATGGTGATGGTGATGCTGATGATGATGGTGGTGGCGATGATGATGACGATGATGATGATGATGACGATGCTGATGCTACTGATGATGATGCTGATGATGCTGCTGGTGGTGATGATGATGATGATGATGATTGCGGAGCAATGTCTGAGTATGTCTCGAGCGAGGTGCGGGTTTCAGCATCCCCAAGGGGAAGCCGCCAGGAGATGTTGCACCTTTCCGTTCGCGCCAACATGGCGGTGATGTATCGAGCGGGTTTGCTTGTTTGCGTGCGCCACATCTTCCACTTTCGGAGCAGATTTGGAGACTGCCTCGAGCGAGGCGCCCATGTTCGCCCCCTTGTGGGGCCAGACTTTGAGGATGCGTCGATCGGTTTGCCTGTTTGGGTGGCCAGGCTCGTGGGCACGGATCCTCCCCAGAATGCCAGTGGAGGCTCCAGCAGGTTACAGGAGGCCCCAGGCGGCCTCAGGAGGTCACAGGATGCACCAGGAGACAACAGGAAGATTCAAGATGCCACATAATGCCCCAAAAGGCTCCAGGAGGCCCCAGGAAGCTCCAGAAGGTCTCAGGAGGCTCCAGAACGCTCCAGGATGCCACAGGAAACAACAGGAGGCCCCAGGAGGCCTCAGGAAGCGTCAGGAGGCACCAAGAGGCCCCATAAGGCATCAGGCGGCCCCAAGAGGACCAAGGAGCAGGAGGCCTCAAAAGGCCACAGGGGTGGCTTCAATCGCATGGGTTGTACGTAAGCTCCTATAGTTTGGGCCTCATTTGGAGCACGAATCCTTATTGTTGCACGTATGGTTCTATAGATTGTCCTACTCCTGTGTGTCCAATCCTGAGTGTTTACGTATGTTCCTATATGTTGGGCCTCTTGTTGGGCACGAGTCCTTGGTGCTTTACGTGTGTTCCTATAGACTGCTCTTCTCCTGTGGCTCCAATCCGTAGTGTTTTAGGTACTTCTGGTCCTATATAGTGGGCCCCTCCTGGGGCACGAATCCTTTCCAGGAGGCCCCAGGAGGCCCCAGGCAGTCCCGCGAGGCCCCAGGAGGCCACACGAGGCCCCAGGAGACCCCAGGAAGCACCAGGAGGTTTCAAGAGGCCCCAGGAGGCCCCAGGCTCATGCGCAGAGACGCGCTCGTATTACTGAGAGTCGTTCACGCTCCAACACATCCGCAGTTAGACTCAGCCCCAGACCGTCAGCATTCAAGCCCGTGAATATTCGAACACCTTCGCGCCTAGACACTCACGGCGGACAGGTCCATGCAATTCGACGCACGTATGGGGAGCTCCACGCAGTGAATAATGCTATGTTATGCTATGAGCTGTGATGAATGATTGTGACAGCGATGAAAATGATGATGGTGATGATGATGATAATGATGATGATGATGATGATGATGATGATGATGATGATGATGATGCTGATGCTGATGATGATGATGCTGATGATGATGATGATGATGATGATGATGATGATGCGGATGCTGATGATGATGATGATGATGATGATGATGATGATGATGATGATGCGGATGCTGATGATGCTGATGATGATGATGAGGATGATGCTGATGATGATGCTGCTGATGATGATGATGATGATGATGATGATGAGGAGGAGGAGGAGGAGGATGATAGGGGACAAATTCTGAGGACACCTCGAGCGAGGCCCGGGTTTCAGCACCCACAATGGGGGGCCAGGAGATATTGCACCTGTCCGTTCGTGCCAACATGCCTGGGATGTTTCGAGCGGGGTGCCGGTGTTGGTTTTCAACATCCTTCGCTTTCGGAGCAGATTGTGGGAATGTCCCGAGCGAGGCGCTGGCTTTCGCTCCCAAAGGGGGGCCGACAGGGGGTATCTCATTCTGCCGCTCGCGCCAAAATGGCGGGGGTGTCTCGAGCGGGGTGCCTTTGTTGGTTCCCATCACCCTCCGCATCCAGAGCAGATTTGGAGGACGTCTTGAGCGAGGCGCTGGTTCTCGCACCCCTGGTGGCCCAGATTGCGAGGATGCCTCGAGCGGCTGGTTTACTTTGCTAGCCAGACTCGTCTGCGTTCAGGGCACCCACCCTCAGATTCACTCGTAGCCAGGCCCACTCGTACTCAGACGCATTCAGACTCCGACTCGCACTCGTTACACTCATACTGTACACCTACACCCAGACTTACCCACACTCAGACTTACTTCCATTCAAACATTCGCAGACCCACTCGTACTCAGACCCTCCCATACCTAGACTCGCTGGCACTCGCACTCAACCATGCCTGGGTTCACTCGCAATCAGACTCACTCACACTCAGATCACTCATGCTCATATTCGCTCAGTCATCTCCCCTTTGGTGGTAAGATGCCCACTGCAGTAGCTGCAGTCGTCGCTGTCGCCGTGGTCGTTGTTGCGCCCGTCGTCCACGCCGATTCGCTTTCATCCCCAGATGCTCACACACAGAGTTCTTCAGCGAAAAGCGACAGGAGTATGAGATGCACATAAGGGGAGCTCAATGCAGTGAACGATTCCCCGTATCCACAGGATGGGGTTCTTGTTCCCTATATCCAGAAGATGCGTTCACACACCTCCTTCTCCTCTTCCCCCTCATGCTATGTTATGATATGTAATGATGTGTTTTGCTATGCTATGGTATGGCATGGTATGCCATATGCTGGTATGGTATGACATGTTATGTTATGCCTTTGGGCTTATGGTATGATATTGTATTACATGGCATGCTCTGATATGGCATTGTATCTGATGGTATGCTGTTGCGGCACGAACTGGTACGATATGCCATGATATGGTGCATCCCAGTGCGATGATGATGGCGATGCTGCTGATGATGATGTTGTTGTTGATGATGATGATGATGATGATGATGATGATGCTGCTGGTGATGATCGGGGCACAAATTCTGATGCTGCCTCGAGCGAAGCGCTGGTTTCAGCACCCACAAGCGGCTATATCATTTTTTCGTTCGCGCCAAAATGGCGGGGATGTGTCGAGCGGGGTGCCTGCTTTGGCTCCCAACATCCTCCGCTTTTGGAGCAGATGTTGAGGATGTCTCGAGCGAGGCGCTCGTATTCGCCCCCAAGGGGGAGGCGCCAGGGGTACATAGCTCACTCATCCGCTCGCGCCAAAAATGGCGGGGATGTCTCGAGCGGGGTCACTGTTCTGGTTCCCGACGTCCTCCGCTTTCGGAACAGGTTTGGAGGATGCCTCGAGAGAGGCGCTCATTTTCGCCCCCAAGGGGGGCCCGATGTTGAGGATACATCGAGCGGTTTGCTTATTTTGCTGGTCAGACTCGTGGGCACGGTTCTTCAGGACGCCACGGGAGGCTCCAGGAGGCTCCAGGAGGCAACAGGAGGTATCATGAGGTATCCGGATGCCACAGGAGGCCACAAGAGGCCACTGGGGGCTCCAGGAGGCCCCAGAAGGGTCCAGGAGGCCCCAATAGGCCCCAAGAGGCCCCAGGAGCAGGAGGCATCAGAAGGCCACAGGAGTGGCTCCAACCCCATGTGTTGTACGTATGTTTCTATCTAGTGTGCCTCCCTTGGGGCACGAGTCATTGGTGTTTTACGTGTGCTCCTATAGATCGTCCTTCTCCTGTGGTTCCAATCCGCAGTTTTTTATGTGCGTCTGTTCCTATATATTGGGTCTCTCCTGGGGCACGAATCCTCTCCAGGAGACCCAAGGAGGCTCCAGGAGGCCCCAGGAGGCCACACGAGGCCCCAGGAAGCCTCAGGATGCCACAGGAAGCCCCAAGAGGCCCCAGGATACCCTGAGGGACTCCAGGAGGCCCCAGGAATCCCCAGGAGGCCGCAGGCTCATGCGCAGAGACGCGTTCGTACTTCTGAAACGCATCCACACCAATTCATCCACAGTTAGACGCAGTCACAGACCGTCACTACTCAAGCCCGTTTCTAGTGAAAACTCTTGCGCCTAGACGTTCAAGGCGGACAGGTCCATGCTAATAGATGCACAAATGGGGGGCTCCACGCAGTAAACATTTATTACTCTGGCCGCGCCAACTCCTTCACACTCACTCCTCATTATCCGCCTCATCTTATGTTAGGCTAGGCATGTTATGTTAGTGCATGCCATGGCATGTTATGTTAGGCCATGGTATGGTTTGTTTCGTTATGTCATGTTGTGCTATGCTAGGGTACGGTGTGCCTGGTATGTCATGGTATGTGATGGTACGGTATGTTATGATACGGTATGCTGATATGTTATGATATGCCATGCTATGATATTGTATGGTATGTTTTGCTGCGGTGATGCTGTTGATGATGATGTTGATGATAATGCTACTGACGAAGCTCATGATGCTGCTGCTGATGATGCTGATGATGGTGTTGTTGATGATGATGATGATGATGAGGATGGTGGTGGAGCAAATTCTGAGGACGTCTCGAGCGAAGCGCGGGTTCCAGCACCCCCAAGGGGGAGCCGCCAGGGGGTGTCCCATTCCTCCGTTGGCGCTACACTTCTGGGGATGTCTCGAACGGGGTGCCTGTTATGTTTCCCAACATCCTCCGCTTTCGGAGCAGTTTCTGAGGATACCCCGAACGAGGCGCTGGTTTTCGCGCCCAAGGGTGGGCCGACAGGGGTTATCTCATTCTTCCGTTCGCGCCAAAATGGCGGGGATGTCTCGAGCGGAGTGCCTGTTTTGGTTCCCAACATCCTCCGCTTTCGGAACAGATTTGGAGGTTTGAGGATGCCTCGGGCAAGGCGCTCATTTTCGCCCCAAGGGGGGCCAGATGCTGAGGATGCCTCGAGCGGTTTGCTTATTTTGCTGGTCAGACTCGTGGGCACGGATCCTCTTCAGGACGCCACGGGAGGCTCCAGCAGGCTCCAGGAGGCTCCAGGAGGCCACAGGAGGTCCCAGGAGGTATCAGGAGGCCACAGGAGGCTCCAGGAGGCCCCATGAGTCTCCAGGAGTCTCCAAGAGGGTCCAGGAGGTTCCACGAGGCGCCAAGAGCAGGAGGCATCAGAAGGCCACAGGAGTGGGTTCAATCCCATGTGTTTACGTATGCTCCTGTAGATTGGGCCTCACCTGGAACACGAATCCTTGGTGTGTTATGTATGTTTATTCAGATTGTCTTTCTCCTGTGCATCCAATCCTCCGTGTTTTACGTACGTTCCTCCCGCCCACCCCCACCTCCTTGCCCCCCTGCCCCGCTCCGCCCTTCTCCTTTTCCTGAGCTGCCCCCCTCCTCATTTGCCCTCCCGCCCCGCCCCGCACCCCCCCCCTCCCGCCCCCAGGTGCAGCCGAACTCGGAGCCCGCGAGCACTGGTCGGGGCCCCGGCGGGACCCCCTGGCCCCGCGGCGGCCTCGGGGATTCCCAGGGGACCTTCGCCTGTTCGGTCCGTCACCATCCGGGCCGTGGGGGCCGCGGAGGCCCCCGTCGCCCGAGGCGTCTTCGGAGAGCGACCCGAGATCCAGAGCCGCGCGGTGACATCGACGACCCAAGGGACCTCCCCTCGCGGTCCGTCGCCGGTCGCGGAGACCCACGGGACCTCGCCTCGCGGTCCGTCACCAATCCGGGTCTTGGGGGCCTCGGAGGCCCCGAGGCGCCCGATGGCGTCTTCGGAGGGCGACCCGGGTCCCAAAACCATGCGGGGACCCGTACGCGTCCGTGCCACCAGCGGCCGGGCCGCAGAGCGCATTGGTCGCGCTCGCCGCGCGAGCGCGCGCGGGGAGCGGCGGTCGCCTCGCCCGTGGGGGGGGGGGCTCGGATCGCCCGCTGGCGACGACGAGGACGAGGATGAGGACGACGACGACGACAACGACGACGACGACCACGACGACGACGAGGACGAGGACGACGACGAGGACCCGATCCCCACTGATTTACCATGCGGTGTTGGCACCCCGCCGCCTGGGGTCCACTGGCAGGGTGGGGGGCGAGGCTGGGACGCGGTGGGTCTTGAGAGCCACGCCTCAGCCGACCCTCTCTCGCCCTCTCTCCTTTACATCCCTCTCTGGGGAGCAAAGGAGGAGGAGGAGGAGGAGGAGGAGGAGGAGGAGGAGGAGGGAGAAGGAAGGGAAGGATGAGAAAGAGCATTATTTTCTTGTTCCTCCTTCTCCTCCTTGGCCTCTTCCCCTTCTCCTCATCCGCCCTCCTGCTCCTCCTCCTCCTCCTCCTCCTCCTCCTCCTCCTCCTCCCTCTCCTCCTCCTCCTCCTCCCTCTCCTCCTCCTCCTCCACCTCCTCCTCCTCCTCCTCCTCCACCTCCTCCTCCACCTCCTCCTCCTCCTTTTTTTCTTCTTCTCCTCCTCCTCCCTCCTCCTCTCTCCCTCATCCGCCGCTGCTCCCCCTTCCTCCTCCCTCCTCTCTCCCTCTGCCGCCTCCTCCTCCTCTTCCGAACTTCGAACTGGTGGCGTTAGATCCGTACCGGAGCTGCCCCCCCCTCCGGCGGACTTTGCCGCTGGAGGGGTTGAACAGGACGCACAAGAGGAACGGCTATCCCTCTCTCCCCTCCGCTACTCGTATCCTTCCCCCCCCGCCGCCCACCCACCATTCGGCCCCCCGTGCCGCTGGCGGCTTGGCAGTGGCAGCGGCAGGCAGAACATGGCGTGATGCCGATGTTGGACGCTGGAGCGCGAACGCCGTCTTCGCCTCCAGATGGGGAAAGTGGCCCCAGGCGCGATTGCCTTCGCGCTCCGTGCGGGGGCGGCTGCGGCATGCCGAGCCAGGCGTGGTCGTGAGACGAGCGTGGCCTGCTGTCCGGCTGACAGCAGACGCCAGCTTCGTCCTGTATATTCTTTCGGGGGTTTGGCCGCCACAGCCGGCGGCGGGCGGAGGCGGAGGCCAGTGGGCGGTGCGCGAGGGCAGGCGATTGGGGGGGGGGATACTTCAGATTTCGTAATACAAGGGAGGGGGCCTGGACCCTCCAAGACAAGCCATTTCAGACCTCCCCCGTGGGAGAACCCTCCAAAACATCGTCCCCAGACCCTCCAGGCCCTCCAAGATAGCCTGGAAGAGACCCCCCCCCGAAATGAGACCCCCCTCCCTTTATTACGAAATCCGGAGTACCTTACGGAGGGTGAGATACAGCAACAGATCGAGGTGGGCTGGCCGCGGAGAGACCCGGCCCGTCGAATCGGTCCCTCGCCCCCTGGCGATGCGGCCCAGAAGCCGTTCGGGCGGGGACGTTCGGCATGTCCCGGCGCTGAGCCGTGGGCGGCCGTCGCCGTCGTCCTCTTCTCCTCCCGTTCCTGAGTCCCGACCCATCCCCTCCGCCACATCGGTCCGTTTCCCGCAGCATGGGCGGCTTTGCAGGGGCGGCGTCGGGGTAAGAACGCTGCGTGGTGCCGATGTTGGACGTTCGAGGGGGGGAGGGGAAGTCAGAGAGAGAGAGAGAGAGATCAGGAACAGGTGTGAAGAAGGAGTGGAGTTGGACCTGGCGCCTTTGTGAGGGCGCTCGTGGACTCTCTCGTGGTCCTGCGGTGGCGGCCATGCCGTGGCATGGTTGTGAGACGCGATGATGTGGCCGAATTGCAAGCGGCTTGGCGAGGCCGGGGCCAGTCAGTGCCCTGGCGTTGGGCGGTTCACCCCGAACCTCCACGACTCACGGCACTGCTGTACAGGGAGGGCGTCGAGGCCCCAAGGGAGAACACTGTTGGGGATCCGCGGGGTGCTTGTCGCTTGTTCTTCTCGGGCTTAGTACCAACTCCATTGGTCAGAGGGCTAGGAGGCGGTGCTGAGGGAGAAGAGGGGCAGATGGGAGGCGGCGGTGAGGTGAGGGTGCGTGGAGAGCTCTCTTTCAGATGTACGCAGCTGGGAATGAGATTCTCCGCAGCCCACGCTCGATACTCTCGCCAGCTGCTGCTTGGACGGATCGGCGTTGCGGTAGGTGGAGACGCGGTCCCTCGTGACGCCGATGTTGATGCCCCGCTCTGGGCGGGCGGCATAGTTGATGGCCTTCTGGGCGGAGCTTCGTTGGGGCGTCGAAGTGGGCAGTACCGTAGCCGAGGGACTGGCCGTCCAGGTTGATGGCGACCTGAGTGGTCTGGATGTGCCCGAAGAGGCTGAAGGTGTCGTTCAGGGCATCCTCCTTGGTGCTCGGCGGCAGGTTCTCGACCAGGATGGTGTTGCGGCCCCCGCTGTCGGACCGGGGGCCACCCGTGGGGTCAGATGCCAGCCGAGCCGATCCCCTGCAAGGCCCAGGCCCCATCAGGGGCCCGCGATTGTGGATATCAACTTGCGGCGAGCCGCACGCAGAACAATCACCCTGCAGGGCCAGGGGGGTCGCTTGGTCTAGCGGGGCAGGCCTGCTGCTGGTCATGCAGCTCGGTTTGGCGTTGCACGGCTGTTCCCAGGGCTGCCACGGCTGCTGCCTCAGCCTAGATGTTGACGGAAGAGCCACTCCAGGGCGCCATTCCGGGCCGATGCCAGGCATGAAGACGCTGAAGATGGTGTCTGAGGTCACCTTAACAAAGAGGTAGACCCAGCACATGAGGCTAATCCAATGGATGTAGGCGTTGATTGGGATTGAGCTGCATGGTATGGATGGCCAGCTCACGAGCTGCCCTCATCATGATGGCCTTCCTCTTGACGTGTCTGTACCTGGGAGAGAGTGATCCACCCGCTCTTCGGCCTCACTTTGGGCACGCTGACCCAGAATGAAGGGTCCAAGTCAAACTCGGCACACAGAAAGATTCGCTTTTGATTGAATTCAGGGCACTCGGCCCACAGGTGTCTGAACGATGGCCAGGCGGCATTCCAGTGACTGCACGGCTTGCTGCTCTGCCGTCGCCCGACGTATCTATGTGCACTGCTTGCCGCTCTGCCGTCCTTCTGCAGATGAGACCGCTCCCGACAAATATATGCACAGCAACTTCTCGTGGGCATCTGGGAGCCTCCTGGCACACTTACTGAAAGCACCGTGGGAGGCGACGTGCGGATCCGCCTCGTCGATTTCGTCCGCGTCGTTTTTCTTGGGCACCACTTGCTTGAAACAGCTCACTCTGGCAAGTTGTTCTCAACGCATGCTCCACTTTCCCACGGTTCCGCTCCTGCTGTGGCCGTCTCGTCCAGAAGCGTGATGTACCAGGTAGAAAGAATTGAGACATTGTTGCTACTACTCTATGGTCGTCCATCAGGTTCACCTCAGTCAGACAACCTTGCTGCTCTGAAAATCTCACAAGCTGCAATCCCAACACAGCGCAATGTGCCACCATCGCCGTCTCGACGAACTGTAACCACTCAAGCTTCTCATGAACCGCAGTGCTCAGCGCGTAAAGGGCTGCTCCCAGTCGGGGTGCAAGTGCACTCTCTGGGCCCACCACCTTCTCTGACGCTACCATGTGCTCGCTGACCTCACAATTGCACGATGAAGTCGTCGAGGGAGATCCTCTGGGAGCGGTGCCAGCAGTGGTGAAGCCCAATACCACAACGGTCTCGTATACCTGGCAGCAAGTATTTCTCTCACATCCGATCCACCAAGTATTGATCCCAGTGTCTCAACTGTTTTGTATATCTGTGTCGACCCATGCCATGGTAAGATGGGGTACTCCGCGTCCGTCGGTCTCGCCGTGATGCCTAGGTGCTCGACAACTGTTGGTGGGTCGTCTGCTGCACTCCACTGGTGACGCTTCGACGTGTTTTCAACGAACCCGCACTCCTTGTCGAATGTCTCCGTCATGCTGAGGTCGTCCTGGGCAAGATCTGCGTTCACGTTCGTCAGCGAGCGGTCGTCCATGTACGCCTGGCCATTGTTCGGCTGCCATGGCGTGAGGGCTGCAATCATACTTGCTGGTGCCACCGAGCCCCCCTGCGGGAGACCCCTGGCTGGGTATATTGGTGACGCGTAATGCCCACCACCGCTCAAAGTCTGAGGTCTTGCCCAAGCTGCCACTGCGGTGTCGACCACCGCGTCGGGAGCAGCACAGGCCAGGAGAGCTGCTTTACCAATATCAAGATCCATGTAATCGTACGCCCGCGAAAGATCCAACTCAGCACCCGCATCCGAATGCGGAACCTCTGCAGGCCACTTTGAAATAGCGTGCACCACATTGACACCTCGCTTTCCTGCCAATTGATTCTCACACGTTTGTGGAATGGCCGTTGCGAGCGCGCTGAGCCAGCATCGGACCAAGATGGATCCGACAGAGATTGGGCGCATGTCTGACTCGCCCTTCGGGATGCCCACCACCCGCCATGGAAACATACCTGGGCAAGGCAATTCTTTGATACTCTGCCTTTATCCAGCACGCAAACAATTAGATGGAGTTACCCAGACTCAATACAACTCCAGCATCAGCTCTGGGAATAACTTTCTGACTGCTTTCA